AAAATTGTATATATGTGTATGTATCCATTGTATTCCAGTTCTTACAGAGTGATTTTGCCTAGTTTTAGAGAAAACTAAGTGCCTAGCACAGGACATAAAAGATTCCTAAATAAATGGAGGCTATTTGGCTGATGGCCGGCTGCATACATGAGTAAGTATAGCTATCAATTTACAACCAGCTACAAATTGGACAAAAAGGACTTCTACTGAGATGTGATATATTGCAGCTTTGTTATGTAACTTTTTTGGTGGGCGGAGCCCATTACCTTTGTTCTTGCCCCATCTTTACCCATTGGACTGCATTCCACATGCATAATGCCAGTTAAATGTCCTTCTAGACTCTTCCTCACTTCCCAGCAAGGATTAGCCCCTCTTGCTCTGTGTTCCACGCCATGCTGTTCTCAGCCATTACTCTGCTTATCTCATAACTTGTTTGCCCAATTATCTCCCCCACTGGCCTCCAAGGCCCTCAGGGAGGAGCCAAGCTCCAGACTTCACTAAATTAATACGTGCTGAATGCACAAATGCGTCATAAGTTGTGAAACATGTAGTCATGTTCTCTTATTATGTCCAGTAACACATCCTCAGCAAAGTCTTCACGGAAGACCTAATTTCTGTCAAATTTGAGGTAATAGAAAAAAAATATTATAAAGGGGCTTCTGCTCAAAAATATGTTGTCAAACCAAGTCTGACAAATTTCAAGGGTACAAATTGAACCTTGTCAAATTGTGCTCATTTTGATTTATTGATAGGAAGCTAATTCTGCTTTAATGAAAGCAGCCCGAAGAAATATGTTTGTATAGCATTTATTTCTTTGATAAGTATTTATTGAGTGCCTACTGTGTGCCAAGTGCTGTCTAGAATAAAGATAGAAATAAGACAGAAAACAGAAAGGAAACAGAACGTTATTTCCAAATTAAGCCACATGGCTGGACCCTTATTGTATCTGTACATATAAGCTGGGTTGTGTTGAGTATGGAGTTGCGTAGCAATTAAAAAAAATGGATTCTTGAAGGTGTTATTTATATGGAATGGGCTGCTGGAGTCTGAAAGGAGGGTGACTATGGATGTCACATCACAGATGGTACAATGATGGAGGCTACAGCGGCCCCACAAAAGCCTATCTTTTGCCATTTCACCATCCAGTTACTGCTGTGTTTGGGAGAAAGCCTGCAAGTTGGGTTTACAGAATCAATGCTGGGGAAGAGCAGTGGAGCTGGGAGCTCCCTAGGAAAGAGAAAGAGAAGCCAGGCTGTTACTCTTCCTTTCCTAGTTACCGTTTGTAAAGAGCAACCCCCCGATTTTTAAAAACAGTACTTTCAAATAGCTGGCTCTAGCTTGTTAATAGATTGAAAACAAGTGTTAACATTTACTGTCCCATAAAAGTGTTTCAAGTTTTTCAGGCACAAAGGTAATGAAAAAAAAAAATGAGTCCTCTATCCTACCTCTCTTTACTACCACATGTTTATTGCAAGAAACCCTATAGGAAAGGCATGTGTTAATAGAACAGGACTGGCCACAAAATTAAGATTTTAATGTGACCTACTAATTGATTTCTCTAAGATTCTTGGCCTTCATTCTCCAACCGGATCTCATTTCACTCTATAACCTTCTGAATTGATCAGCAGCTTTATTTGTAAAAGAAAATAACTTGAACTTATTTTTTAATAGGCCAAAAGGAATGGCTCACATAATAAGCTGATCTCAGTTGTGGTCCTTGTTCTTCTGAAACCAGGGTTCACAGAGCATTTTAAATAGTGACCAAATTTTCTTCCTAACTTTTGCAGATAATTTTGTGGCATCTAACAAGGTGCAAAAAAAGTATGGCAGGTCCTTGACTCACGTAATTTCATATGACCTGCTTCGGTACAAGGTTGAGGAGATGCCACAGGAACTTAACTCTTGGTTATATCAATTAGCCTGTGGTAAAGTTGGTTTCATTCTATGTAGTTTTATTTAAAGTCACAGAATCTATGGGCGACATTAAGTGAGGACTTACTGTAGTGCCCCTGTGGTGAAAACATGAAGCTCTGAGAATCAGTGCTGTCTGACAGAACTTCCGGGAATGATGGGAACGTCCATAGGTGGCTGTTGAGTACTTAGAATGTGACTGATGGCCGAGGAGCTGAATTTTAAGTTTTATTAATTTTAATTACCTTAAATTTAAATAGCCACATTACTAGTGGCTACTCCTTTGGACACCTTCAGTTCCTGTCATATTGGCATACAGGGGACCAGAGCCACTGCTGACGGCTGTTTTATCACAGCGTTTAGCCACCTTCGTGATAACGGACTAGAAAGCCGAGCCCTGACCGCCTGAGTGACTAAGCCCCTCCATTGGCCCCTAACTCCGAATGCTACAAAAAGGGACGAGCATGCCTGCTAGAGCCCATCAAGCAGGCTGATTTTTTTTTATTCTTAAAGATACATTTAAAGCATCTTCTGAAATGCAGGAATTCATTTGCAGCCGTAGGAGAGATGGTGGTGATGGGGAAGTCATCAGGATTAGGAATCATGAATTTTAAGAAAGAATACATACTGTAGATGATAAAAAGGGAACTGATGTATGGACTGGCCCTTTTATACGCCTCCAAAATGTGAGTTCACTTGGGGTGTTATCTGTGGGGGAGACACCTACACGGACCTTAATCATATGTGAGCTGAATTTAGTTTTCCAGAACTTAAATTTTATATAAAAATCTTGCAAGTCTAATGAATCACATCATGTATTTTAAACAGTAAGTCTTGAGAGCCTTGTGAATTCCCAAAGTAGTAAGGAGTTTCAGAATTTTACAGTTGTGGTCTTGCTTTTTCTCCATTAGTCTTTTTTTTCTGTTATTTTATTTTATATATATATATATATATATATATATATATATATATATATATATATATATATATATAAAAACCTTGGATTGCGAGTAACTTGGTTTGCGAGTGTTCCGCAAGACAAGCAAACATTTCTAATACATTTTAACGTGGTAAACAAGCGATGTCGTGCAATACGAGTAGTTTGTTTCTGGAACGAATTATGCTCGCAAACCAAGGTATGACTTGGTTTTGTTTTTTTTTGTCTCCTATGGTTTTTGAATAACTTATGGACATTTTTGTTTTTGCTGAGCATACGAGAAGCTCAACTTTATCCCAATATTTTGTTGTTGTCTTCTTTCACAATGGTGTGACTCCTTGGCACCAGGATATTCCAAAATCTCAACTCCAGGGGAGTTGGTCTTCTAATATGCACAGAAATGAGAACTGATGTTGGGCTTTACAGGCTATTCTGAGGCCTACTTAGTCAAAAGTACAGAGCTGGTTTGCCTTGTTCCAATTTGGATGGGGTTCTATCTTATACACACTGCAATTTTCAATTTTGTTTAGTATTGGTTTTCCAATTTCTGATGCTACTTTGAGTCTTGACTACATGTCTCTCCATCTCATTAGTCTTATCCTATTAGACACTATCCTTCCTCTTCCAAGATGCCATAAAAATCTTTCCTTTTATTTCAATCACACCTTTTGAGATCTGTACCATAAATCCAGAATAGAGGTCTAAAAGTAATAATGGTGGAAATGCGATTTATTCTACTTTCTCAGGGAGTGACTTTAAAATGAGTTTAGACTATAAGCCTCTTCCAGTTTGTGTACATTGGGAGAACACACCTTGTTTCTTTGGAGGCTCTGTGCCAGCTTTATATCTATGTTCACATCTGTATTCACCTGAAGACATGTCTCTAGATGATTTTCCTAATGTCCTTTTCCACCTTCTGTTGTTCTCCTTATTCCCTTGATGCTAAAAACACATACTTGGACTCTCAAAGTTATAAATTTCATCTACGTCTCCATCTAAGTATTACTGTAACATGACTCATACATTACAATAACGGCATTTTTTTGAACTAAAAATTCTCCTAAAAATCTATTCTTTCTTAAAGAAACCAACAAAAAGCATCTTTGAAGATAATTAAGGTGTACCTATTGTTCCAGGCTTCCAGCCCATGGTCTTGCCACCTTCTCTTTGGTGTCAGCCGTCTCCTCCCAAAGATGAGCTTATGGCTTCCCTGTGTTTTTCTAGTTCATTTATTTCCTGAAGGAACTGTGTTCCATTTTATGTTCAGATAATATTTTCTAGTGAAATCTACACAACCATTTCACGTAGAATTTGAATCCTGCCCCCACTCTACACTACCATCTCTTACCATACTTACTTTTCTCTGAAGCAACATGTTCTAAGATACTTAATATATTTACTTGTTTTTCGTGTCTTCTTCTACTAGAATGCAAACTCCACGAGGAAAGGTAATTTTGTTCATTTCACTTATTGTGTATCCCCCTGGCCTAGAATTTTCAGTGGGTGATAAATAAAATCTGTGAAATTAGCAAATGTTCTACAAAGAAGTACTTCCTCTATTTTTCACAATCCTAAAAATTAATAATTAAATAACAATGACCTCATGAACCAATCTATGAGCGATCTGATTGAGAATAAACTGTGATTTTTCCCTTTTTTGCATAAATAATTCTAGACCATGGATGCAGAAACTTGTTATCTCATCCCAAAAGTTGCACTAACTGAATTTTGCCATGTCATGACTCTCATTTGAGTGAATAGCTTCACATAGTGCATAATAAAACAGGCTTAATTTTTAATTAGATTGTGATCATAGGGAAGACTGATTTTTTTTTTTTTTAGCAGTTTATTTAGTGAAAATTTACATGGACTAGGGAACAACCTTCTGAATTGCTCTGGTCGGAGGCTCCTTACTCAATGTGGAAGTGGCGGTTAAGGAAATGATATATAAGTAGCTTTTTCCTAAGAGGCTTAGAGATTTGAATAAATATTGTTTATATTTAATGATCAAAGAGCTGCTGGCAAGCAAACAATTGGATTTATTCCTATTAAAAATATATTAGTGTAGCAATACCGCCACGGGGCACTCAAAAACCGGAAGTCAGTGCATCAATAACCCAACAAGCTGGTTTCCTCCTTCCCTGTGGCTAACCTTCAGTCGATGATTCCTTGGCTGCAGTCCACAGGCAGGCGCTCACAGCCTCATAGGAGGCACTCAGCCGCGTGGTGGGGTCCCTCTTTGGCTTGGGCGGAGGCTGTTTCCGTGGTGATGGGAGGCCACCGCTGTCATCCAGGCTGAACACAGAGTGCAGAGAAGGAGACCGGGTAGATGGGCCAGCCAGGGACTGGACCAGGCTGTCTACAGCCACAGAGCCTGGAACGGAGCTGCAGTGGAAATGCCTAGGTCCACCCTTGTCGTCAGCTCTTCAGGGGGAACAAAACACAAACAGCACCAGAGAGGCCCAGATGCATTATTCAGATGGTAACAGTGGATCTGCTCAAGCAGACATAATCATGGCTTTTTGGTAAACAGCCTTCCCTGCCGAGGCTGGAGGATGCACTTGTAGCACTCTGGTAACCAGCACATCTAGAGAAAGTTGCCCCATCCTTCCAGCCCTTGCTTTATGATAAATGAGCACATTGGAGATGCATCATTATTACTGAAAAAAAATATCTCACACAAATGCAACACTTCTTAAGGAGTGCCACAGCTTCTATCAGGCATTCACTGAATGAATTTTTTACACTCTGATTATTAAGCAAAAAAAAAATAAACCACAGAATTTCAATCTGAATGATAATTTCTGGGGAATCCATCTTAATAGAGAGTTACTGATGCATCAAATTCTGGGAGTTCATCATCACTTCCCCTTGCAAAACAGCATGTACTTAAACTATGAAAGATTTACATTTTCTCTTCTCTTTTTATCTCTGCTTTTCCCTTACCATTTAAATTCCATCGGCAATTATTTAATTATGTGCAGAATTATTATTTTTCTTCTGTTACTCCATCTGTTTGTCCAATGCCAAGTGAACTGCTGGTATTCAATAAATAAATAGACAAATACTTCTTCACTTAATTTTATATCAGGCAAATGAACACATCATCAAATTGAGAAATTGGGGTGGCTGTTTAGCTCCAGCCGAGAAAATAACAAATATTATTCTTGAAGTCATATAAAAGTAATAGTTATCTGGTTTACAAAAAAAAAATCCTTCTGGCTTCACATGTCACTGTAATCATGTACTAGTGAGATGCCAATGCATTCATTTTACAAGGAGTCTCTGAACATTTGTTTTTATAATTATATCTTTGTGTGGCAGAGCACCAACCGGGCTGAGATCTACCGCAAGGCAGAGCCAGACACCCATGTAGAAAATGAACTAGCTGAAGATGAAAGCATGGCACTCAGTGGATAATTTGTTTTCCCTGTAATGTTTAATTACAGTTTTCAATAGAAAGGGATTTTTTTCTGTATTTAATCACTGTGATATTTGAAGCTAATTAGCAAGAGACACATCACATTGCCACTTTAATAAAAAAAATCATTTGACATAGGCAATCAATGTGAAGGGGTCATTTTCAGTGAGAAACACCTAGATATCACCAAGATCCTTTGAAAAAGCAAAGATTTCCCTGACAGTGAATTAGGATTCAAGAGACCTGGGTCTTTGCCCTCCCAGGGAGGGGGCGCTGTGAATCACAGGTGTCCTCATCATTCACAGAGAGACAAAAGTGATTAAATGGAGAAGGACCAGGTTGTCCCCATGTTTCTATTTCAAGATCAGCCTCTAAAGTGAACTGTAAAATAAGAGGCTTTTCCCAAAGCTTACCTTATTGGCAAAAAAGATGTGACACTCTACTAAAGGGAAATACCTATACAACCATTTATTGATTTCACTATTTTTAAGTTTTCAGAGTAGCTTCTCCATGTTTTTGGTCAGATTTCCAGACACTTCTATGATGCAGCCTTAATCACATGACATTTGTAGAAAGATGTCAAAAACCCAGCTAAGCCAAACATTAGATTTTGGCCTTAAAATTTTGTGCTTGAGGTGGTGAATGATGATGGAAATATTATAGCAGTAATTATTTTATATGACTAAACTAACACATACAGCATTTATTTCATGAAAAGAAAGCACAGGGAAATCACCCTTTTAGATTGCTAGGAGGTTTCAAGTAGATCATACGTACATGCCTATTCCTGTAACTACTGTCATATTTGGTTGAACTTTGCATTAAGGGCTATGGGAACTTTCTTGACTCCACTGGATCAATTACATAGGTAACCAAAGTTGCATACTATCTGCCTTTACCTTTTGGTTCCTTCTTCTTGCTTGTTCCTGGCCTCCAACTTCTCTTTGTGGTAAGTAGCATTTGTTTCATTCCGGAGCCGGTCATTTTCTCTGGCAATGTCCGAAGCATTCTGAATGACCAGGGCATCATAGGTCTTCAGCCCCATGTCCTCTGTTACCTGAAGAAAGCTGTTGATGGACGTGACCTCTTGCTGTCGGATGCTTCTCTTCTGAAGCAAGTGCTGGCGTGCTAGAAATCCTCTTATAACTTCCATGTAAAAGAACACAATCATGGGTCAGTGAGAGGAGCACAAGCAAAAAACCCAGATGCACACAAACAAAAGTCACAATACATTTGTCTGTGCAGCTACAAAATAAAATATGTAACCCAGAATAAGAATTTACTAAAACATTCTAATCTTGTATTAAAAAGGATTTCTAAATTCAGCAATGATAACACCAGAGGCACAAATCCTTACACTGAATGATATTGTGCAGGTAATATAATAATAAGGCTTCCACACTTGTTTTGATAAGAGAGGCTGGACACTGATAGACTAAACTAAAGTCAGTGGGAAAGAACTAGGCCTAAACCCCAGAGAATCTGGGGGTGTGGCTCCAGCTGAACCATTCTGGGATGCACTGATTAGCTTCCATTATATCGTATTATAACAAAAGTATCTGAGGCTCCTGGAATTAGTCTTGGAAAACATCATGCACATATTGTTAACAGGACTGTGATTCAACTCCTAGAGAAACTAACGCTGCGTATAAGACTCTGGGAAGAGAGAGTGTAGAAATATAAGATATCCTTTCTGCTCTCTGAGAAAGCAGGGCTAGAAAAATGTGTAAGAATTGGTGTGGAAACAAGTGAGTGAACACACTTTGAAATTGCTAATATGTCCGGACATAAGTAAGCCTTGACAATAAAAATAATGACCACCATTTAAAGGCACTTCCCTGTGTTAGGCACTCTACTCCATCACTTAGTGCCCAAACTCAGTGGCAATTAATGTACCATTATCTCCATTTTGTACACAAAGCAAGAGAAGCTCAGTGAAGCCTTATTATAGTGTGGAAGCCTTACTATAAAAATATTTTGATGATCTCCTTCGGGTGAAGGATTTTTGCCCTTAGTATTAACATTACTGAATTCAGGTATCCTTTTTCAATATGAGATTAGAATATTTTAGGAAATCCCTGTTCTGAGTTAAATGCATCTTCCTCCAAGTAAACACAACCAGTGAATGGCAGAGTCAGGATTTAAGTCTCGGCGCTTATCAGGCCAAACGCATCCCCTTAGCCTCCGAGCATATGGGTGCGATCTGTAGCTCTGCAGAGAACAGGTCACCAGTCGGGCTGTCATAGGGCAGCATGTTTGCACTCAGTGTGAGGAAGATCTCTCTTTTAAAAAAAATTAAATCTATTGGGATGATGTTGGTTAATAAAATTATGTAGGTTTTAAGTGTACAGTTCTATAATACATCATCTGTATATTGCATTGTGTGTTCACCTCCCAGAGTCAAATCTCCTTACGTAACGTCACCATATATTTGACCCCTGTACTCTCTTCTCCCTCCCTCACCCCCACCCTTACCCTCGGGTAACCACTAAAGAAAGAACTTTCTAACAATGAGTAAATGGATCAGGCTGTCTCGTGAGAAAGGGACTCTGCTCCTTATCCCTGAGCATGTTCACAAGAGCAAAATGGCCCTGCTCATGGATGCTGTGGACAAGTGCAGGTGGAGAAACCCCATCCGGGCCTTTTGACTCTAGGATGCTGCCCCTTCCCGATTCTAAGTTTCTAAGATTAGAAGGAATTGTTCAGATTATAGGAAGATCTATAATTTCAGGGAAACACAATGTGTGTAGCGAAGATACTTTATTCTCATCGGTAGGTGAGGAAAAAAGCCTGTAAAACAGTGAGTCCCTTCAAATAGTCCATGGCTATAGAAGAACAAATGCATGGGTTATCTATGATATTCACTTTGATGCCTTTACTTGATCAGAAGGTAGGAAGCTGAACACAACTTTCCACAATTATGTCTTCAGAGGCAAGTCACATGCAGACATCTAAAATGCTTATGGCTTTTTTTTTCAGATGGCCATACTAAATGTTTAGTTACTTTGGAACGCAGCAGTGTTGAGTTTCCTGTAAAACAGTCATGCTGAACTAATCTAAAGGGGAAAAATTGAAAAAAGTACAACCAGACTTCCAGGAAGATAAAACATGGAATAAAATGCAGAAGCATTCACCATGCGATGGGCAAATTGGAAGAGAGGAGCAGAATTTAAATTGGCCTGTTTGTTTGCTCATTTTTGTTACATTAAAAAAAAACCCCTGAATCACTGACTTTTGGAAGGATGAAGGTGAGGGTATATTCAAGATGTTTTCTCTCTTGGAATACAGGGAAGGCTGATGTGGATGTGCCACACCTCTTGTGACCACCAGTGACAGCTCTTCACTGTATTCACATTCACCCAGGAATCTACTGTCCCACATCCAGAGGACACCATTTTCTTACACTTCATACTAGCAGCTTTTTAAAATTATTTAAAAAGGTTATACCAGTTGCTAAAAATTGGTATCTTTGATAAGGGACAACTAATAAAAATACATTTGCCACAAATATATATTGATCCTTGTTCTCTTTCTGCCAATTCAGAACACTTACAGCCTTCAAATTTTATTTCATACAGGACAAAATGAACATATATAGTCAGAAAGAAACTTCTATTAGGAATAATTTGAGATTAAAGTGATTACATTTAAGATTAAAAGTGACAGCTTTCTTTCCTCCAACATTTACAAAGAAAAAATGAGAACTCTTGAAAAACTGGAAATGACTCCAGATTACATAAATTTTGAGTAAATTTCATACTAGCAAAAAGTATTGAAGGAACTGTTCCAAGAGATATAAAAATCAATAATACTTTGCATTTAAGAGCCTATAATTTTAAAAATGCTTTTACATCCATTATTTCATTTATGTAATATGAAATTATGATTTTTATCTTGATGCCATTTTTTAGATCATTCTGCATTTTTATCTTTAGAGGTGAAGAGATAACGAGAGTTCAGCTCATTTCTTCTGCTTCAGGTCAGTAGGGCACAGCAACTTAATCTTTGAAACTAAATAGAAGAAAGATTTCTGGTGAGCACCCCTGATGGAAAGACAGGGCACACATTCTTCTAATTATATTTAAGGAACATTTCTGGGAAAATTTGATGCCCCATTCTATGTGTGTGTGTGTGTGTGTGTGTGTGTGTGTGTGTGTGTGTGTGTATTTATGATGTTTAATGAGATGCTCAGTTGGCTCTACAGCTAGGTAGTTAGAACACTAGTCTTGTAAATGGGGCTCTTCCCATCCCAGTTTCAGCTGAGGCTGCAAATGGAGGTTCTGATTCAAGAGGTCTGAGTTAGAGCCTGAAACTCTGCCTTTCTAACATCTCCCAGGTGGTGCTGAGGCTGGTTTGTCAGGGCTGATAGCACAAAGAGGGAATGCGAAGGCGTGGTCCCAAACAGCCCTGTGTCCCCAGCCTGTCTCTACACAGATTATCATTACCCACAGAGAAGCAAGAATTGCTGAGAGTTGAAGGTGGGTCCTCTCTTTCACCTGAGGCTCCCTGTCACTGCCCCCAACTTCCAGCCTGGTGAAGGTCGCTTCCGGAGACCACCCAGACAGCTTGCCATGTGATTCTGGAGTGTAGAGGACATAGTGGACTGTGAGGTCTGAGAGAGCTGATGGTGCCACCAGATACTAAATGCAGGGTGGCTCTGTTGGGCGCAGATGCACCTGTCAGGGTTCCAGAGTGTGTTTCTCAGGTACCAGGTATGGTTTTCAAGAGAGAGATGCCTGCCTGGACTTCTTCTTAGAGAACACATAGGCTGGGGCAGGGAGTGTCCATGGGGTGCCCAAGGGCTGAGGGGGGACTACAAGTAACCATCTAAAGGAGAGGTCTTTCCAGTTCTCAGGTGGGTAGTACAGATGAGCCCTGAAACGCACTGAACACTTGCTTGCTCCGCCAGAGTACACAGGTGCTGGTCAAACAGAGGAGCTGCCCTTGTGCTCTCACTTCTCCCTCCCCGGAGGGTCTGCTCGCACCTGAGTAGGCAGGGGTGAGGACCACACCCAATGCCCACCTGCAGGCCTGAGATTGCCAAGAGGGACGTTTTTACTTGGAATGAGATTCTGAATTTTGAGCATTACTTGGACTGGACTTGCTAAATTCTGAATGAGACTGTTGAGGGACAAGAGTGAAGCAGAATTTCTTATCATCAGAAAACGGGTCATTGGAAATTTCATGAGGGGCATGCCTGGACGAGCCCCACAGGGGCTGAAATGGAAAGAAGTACGAACAGAATAAAACCAATTTCTGCCTCCTATGAGGTGCTTTGCTTGCTTTGAACAGTTTCAAATATATCAGAGAACTAATCTCATGACAAGTTCTACCAAACACTATCATACAGATGAATTTCTCCCTTTTACCTTTCTTTAAAAAAAATTATATATATGTATAAAAGTAAATTATTAAGCAAATTAAAAATCTATTATGTGTTGTAGGTGAGGCATAGTTATGATTTTTTAAAATGTACCCATTTTTGATGGGCACTTGGGTTTTGATAAGAGAAAACTATTTGAAGTGGAATCTTTCTCAAAGTTAAAATGAAAAAAAAATGCTATCGGCTATCCAAATATTATCATCATTCCACACAGGAAAATAAAGCTAGGATTTTTCCATGGCATATGTAGAATTACATAAAATGTAGTTTGGCTAATTGGCTGTTCCAGTCTTCCAAAATCGAGTGTACTGATGGTGCTGACTGAACTGGCCTAAGGGTTTGGCTCTATAGAGGGACCTAAGTGCCACATGTTTTTTTTACCCCCATTGTGGGTTCAAAGCTACACTCTTCTTATCAGGATTAACAAACATGAATATTTGCAAGGTAGAAGATGTATAAATTATAGGATATGAATAACCCTTCTTCCAAATTGTGATTTAAGTAAAAATTTCATATAGGCTGACTACCAAATAAAGCATGAGCGGAGTCTACATACAGTGATTTAGAGACAGGTGAAGAGCAAACGAAGGCACAGGACTTCCTAAACTCCTGAAAACCCTTTCCCCAAATGCAGGGTCATGGAATGGATAGAGTGGTCCACAAAAATGTAGATCCCACTGACATTTAAACTTGGGGTACATTCAATGATTTTGTATTTCACAACTCAGAAAAGCTAGAAATGTTTGTGCATTACCTTTTTGGCAGGTGATGATCTTTCTCTGCAGCTGTAGGCACAAATCATTGAGCTGGTTGGCATGCCAGTATTTTAGAAACACTTTTCGGGCTCCCATCTAAAATGCAAACATCAGGGAAACATTTAACAGCATGAAGATGCTAAAATGATGATGGGAAAACCATCAGGAAAGAGAATTTTCCAGAAGACAATTAGAGGAAACAAAGCTTACAAAATTGATTCCAGTACATCTTCCTTATTATTTTTAACACTATTACATTTAATCACAATCCCAAAGGCTCTGTTCTAATAAACAAGGATGTTTTCTGTGTGTACACACTGTCATCAACGCCTGCAAATGACCACACACTACAGTTGTGGTCATAGCATGCAGTGCAAATCACTGACTGACTTTGACTCTCTATCATAAGATAAAACCATTCCCATAAATACACTCTCACACTCCAGAGCCAGACCCCTACCTTTCTTCTGTGATCCCTTTCTGTCCTCAACTCAAAGTAGGGAGGTTGGGTCCACAAAAAAAAACCACCCCAAAAGACCAACACAAAACGCTTTGTGGGGGGTGAAAATGTCTAACTATTACATTGCCTTGTACACCTGAGACGACTAATAATAATAATAATAATAATAATAATAATAATAATAATAAAATAATATAACACAATGCGGACACACAAAATTGTTTCATTTCAATTATTTTTTCTACAATACTGTAGGTTATAATAAATTGAATGTCTACAACTGCAATTATAGAACAACAGCACCAAAGTAAAAAGGCTCAACAAAGCCACGTATGAGCAATAATCTTCTAAATGCTTGCATAAACAGTTGTATACAATGAACATTCTTCTCTAGAATTTTTAAAAAGAAATTTTAGCATGTCACCAAATGAGTTTCTATGAAAAGCGCTAGTGGTATGCAAGCTAGTCCAAGCCTGCTGCTATTGATGAAGACAGCTGCCAAAGAAAATTCTTCAAAACACATAACAATAAGCCACATCCATGCCTTTTTAAAATAATTTCCTTGCGTGTTGTGCTTATTTTCTAAGAGTTCACAGGACCGTGGTAAGTGTGAGGCATGCCCTTCACAATGTAAGTGCTCCCAGTCGCTTAGGAGAAGCACATAAATGATTGCAGAAATGCCGGGTAAATACATGAAGTGCTTTGGAAGCTCGGAGGCGATATTCTGTGAGGTAAAGAAGAAATACTGCTTAGGCAAACCTTGTGATATGTTCATAATCATATTCGCAGCACTGGAGGCAAACAACGTTAAAATAAGAGGAAGACGAACACGTGTGCTTCCAACCATGAGCTGGGGACACTAAAATGATCACACCGAGCAGCTTATGTCATACGTCACAATGACACCCGGAGCTTGCATGTATATATAGGCCATTAGGTACTGAAAAGTTTATAGGTCAGACTTGACTTCAGAGATCTTGGCCAGAGGCAGTTTATGGACCTTTTTATACAGAAACTGAGCTTACTCCAAACATTTTGTCACTTCTCACCTTTCCATCTCACTCTCCCCTTATCAAGATCTGTTGTCATAATGAAACACACAGTTTTGCAAGAGAATCTTGCACTATGGCAGTCAGGCTAGTTAGTTAGATTAATGGCAAAAGCGCTCAACTGCTGTCCTGTTTTACAGGCCTCTGGTTGACTAGATGTTCCTCATTTAGTTTTCTTTTACTTGGCAGAAATTTGAGACAGTTGCCTGGGTGGGTGGCTACAGAGAGTTGTTACTTTTTCCCCCCATTGTATTGCCTTTCTCTCTCCCTAGTTATTTTCCATAATTCACAGTCTTTTTTTTTTTTTTTCCTTCCCGACTGTTGACTTATTTTGGCAGTCAACAGGAAGAACAGTTGGTACTGTCTGTGAGCACTGCGGAACAAATCTGTGAGACAGGCACAGGGGAGGGAGCATGTCATCTTTCTGTTCATCACCGACTGTGGTATGTTACTCATTGTGGGAAACTAAATCATAAAAGCAAAATTCATGCAAACCTGGGTTCCAAAATGAAACGCTAAAACAGTTATAGCCAGAGATGCTCCACAAATGGGTAGAATCTATAATGATCATTAGGGGAAGTAATATACGAAAGTAGCACAATGTAGGAGAAGGCCGATGGGATGGAAATAGGAGAGCTGGATTCTAGTTCTACGCCCTTACATAAATGGAGACCCTGGGTAGGAGAGAGTTGGATGCATGACTAAGTTTTCTTATAGAGAAATTTCTAGGAGCCATTCAAAAAAAACCACAGCAGGTTTATCATGAGAATTATACTAGATTTTAGAGATATAAAGGAGGTCCCGCTCCTCAAGGAGCTCATAATTTACTGGGGAAAATCAGCAGTGAGCAAATCCAGCAAGAACACATGCTCAGTGCAATGACAGAGTTATCTCCAAGGACCATCAGAGAGGAAGAGGTGGTCAAGACGGGATGAGGTAGGGTTCACTGAGATGCATGCCACCTCAGCCACTTAGTCTTGAAAGATAAGCAGGAATTTTCCAAGGTATCTAGGGATGGTAAGAAAAGTTGAATTTGGGACAGAAAAAACTAGCATGTGAAAGACAAGGAGCAGAAGACAACAAACCATCTCGGGGTATAGCTGTGTGAAGAGTAGTGAGGGAAGAGGCTGCACATATAACTGGTGGCCACATTGTGAAGAGTATTTCAGAAAAAAAAAACACGGACGTTTCACTATAAGCAATGTAGTTAAACTAGAAGACTTAAAGAGGATTGGATCTAAATTTTATAAAACTAATTATTGAAATTATATTTGAAATCTATAAAGTTCCTTTTGAAAACTCTCTGGGGAATGAATTGTTGGCCTTGGCTTTGGGAGGCAGTTGGCAAGGAGGAATGATACAATGCAATCAACAATTTGGGTTTGGAAGATCTACCACGGTTGCTTGTTGGTTGGCCAACCCCTCTTTATCCTTTACAACTAAAATCATACCCCACCTCCATTATTAGAGATTTGATACCCATTTCTCCACTTACTGTCAGGCTTTGATGACTTTCATTTGTGTTCCCAGAGCACCCTATGAATTATTCTTTATTTCTCTTATTATAGTGCATTCATATTTTTCATTATACATATATATTTATATCTCTTGAAGAAAATCAAGAGATGGCCTTGATCTTACAGTGGTAGGGATGTTGGGGGGGGGGAGGTGGATTCAGATTAGAAACGGAATATGAGGAACTGTGAAGTCCTGGTATGAGTCATGAGATGGATGATAATGTCTTCAAGGATGAAAATAAGGACAGTGAAAACATAAGCCAGACCCTAAAATCATTCAGCAAACTGGAAGTAAGTCATGGAAGTTGGTAAGTGGTGGAAATAAAAGCGGAGTGAAAATGGTCCAGAAATGGTATAGACATAAGACATAAAGTTGGGGAGCAATGATTTAGCTGACCCCTCTCCTCCACTGAAGAAATGGAAGTGAGAAAAAGTGAAGCCTTATAATATAGTATTTCCAGGAAACAGCCTGTTTTTAGTTCATATATGGAGGCTAAATTAGAAGGGGAGTATATACAGGAGATAAAGTAGATTTTTCTCATGATATATTAGAGATTCCATAGGACCTGACAGTGGGTGGTTAAGAAGTTGTATGAGTGTTTCACATGGCAGATCTGTATGTCAGTCCAGACTTGGAGACAGAAAAATGAAGCTCATTGGGGTAACGGCAAAGAAGGAGCAGGGAGGGCACATGAGGCACAGGGCATGTGACAGGGCAGGTGGAATGCTAGACAGGTAGACACATGTAATGGCAGCCGGAAGGACAGGCCAGTTCCCAAAGCTCCTAGCGAGTTTTTGGTGTAGTTAAGTCCATGAAAGTTATCCCTGCACAGGTAAACCAAGGGCTCTGAAAATGAGGAGGGCTACTGGGTTTCTGATTGAGTAGGAGGAGGAGAGAATAAAATTCTGAATCTACATTACAAGTATCCTGCTAGACATAGCTAAAGACTTCATGGAAATGGCTGGGTATTGTGCTGCCATCACATTCAGATAATTTAAAAAGTTCTTCACTCAGCTATTCGGTATATTTTACAGTTATCCAAAGGGCTGATTCATTATTTCATATTCATTCATTTATTCATTCATTTATCCATTCATTCATTTTATTACCATAAAACTTATTTGTGGATTGACAATATTTGGAAATGCTCATTGAAAATGTTAACATTCGTTTGACTTTGCTGGTCTTTTAGAGATGTTATGTTTGTAGTTAATTCTCTCCTGAAAGAATAAAATTAGCCCTTTACTACTAGTATTTTGAATTTCTTTCTTATAAACTATTCTTTTTTTTTTTCTTTCTTGGTTTTGTGTTCCTCTGCGGTATTGCATATTCTTGTTTTTTTTTTTTTTCCAAGATTTTTATTGGGGAATTGGGGGAAGGGGAACACTCAAGTTGCTGTCCTTTTGTTCTTCAGTCTAGTTGTGGAGGACATTGCTTCACTGGCCCAAGTTGACACCATCATTGCGCTCTTCCCGGGCGAGGCAGATCAGTCGCCAGCTTCTGGACGGCTGCTCACTGCGGCTGCTGGCTGCTCACGCTGGCTGCTGGCTACATACGGTAGCCCATGGCAACCCACTGCCACAGGGGCTGCAGCCTACGCCATCGCAGGCGACTCACAGCAGCCCAGCTCCAGGTTGAGCTGTTGTTCAGCATCTTAGCTGTAGAGGGCAGTGTCAATGGCCCTCATCTGTGGGATCCGAACCGGGGCCCTCTGGCGTCCCAAGCCAGCTCTTAACCAACGCGCCACTCAGCCAGCCCCCTTATAAACTATTCTTAATTATGAATTTTAGTCCTTAAGTCCTCTGCTATCACTGATGCCGAGGATTAGTAGGGCATAAGTCTAGGAAATTTTACTTATCACGAAAACCCAGACAAGATCACATGAATTCTTAATCTGTAGGAATTTACATTGTCTATTTTTTTAAATTAGTTTCAGGTGTACAACACAGTGCAATAGTTATACTTTTCACCCCTCAAAGTGACAACCCCTTTTCCCCAATCTGCTGCCCCATTCGCCTCTCCCGATAGCATACATATCTATTACAATTCCCTTGACTCGACTCGCACAC